TTCTTATCTTGACCACTCATTTGCTTTCACATACTTCATGCTATACCCAAAAGTATCCCGTTTTGGCATCTTTGGTTAGGCACCCGTATGGATAATATCAAAGTATAGCACTCCACACATAATACAACCTGGTATCTCAAGTCTAGGGAGTATTTACACAACTGACACATGAGAAGTATTGCATAGACACTTGAATGAAATACCAAATGCACTTCTCACGACGGCTCATGTTCAGTGAACTTGCTTTCCTATGCAAACACCTACATTCTAGTTCTAAGTATTTCTATAATCAACCTATGAGATCGGTTGCTTACTTCTCAAGTAAAAAACATAGAATGTATCAGTCTGTAGGCATCATTGATATCCAATCTCATTGATACATTGACGAGAAACATTTTTGAGATTACACTTTGATGCATAAGAATCTCATAACTGTAACCCATTACAGTTTCCTTGTAAAGCATATTAATCTTATGGACTTCATCCAATTAGACTTTATATCTTGTTATAATTGATGTCTTATTGATTAAGGAAAACCTTTAATCATTCAATATGAATAATGTTGTTGCATGATTGGAATCAAGCCTTAACCAATTGCAATTGGTTGCAGGGCTCATCCCAACACCATGTGTCCTATTGGCACGTACTAGTGCCCCTCAGATAAAGGGACATTGATGTCCACCAAATACTCCCGTATGACTTCATTTGGGGTGGGCTCCAAGGTTTCGTGTGCCCACAACTGCAAAATAACGATTTTGATAAAAAGGTTAAAAAGGTATAATGACAAATTCCATCTATATGAATATTGAAGTGGTGTCACTTCAAAGAAGAGTTAAAAAGGTTTACTTTTGTAAATATTTACGAAACCAAGATTAGCACAAGGTCGTAAAAGTGCGAAAAAAGTTAGCAGAATCATAAAGCGATTAAATAATGCTATATGTGTGATATTTTCAATTATAACATAAGGAGTTGTGGTTCAATCCTTGTAATATCAATAACTTCATCTTAACATTAACATTTTTACAATAGTAGAAAGTTCAAATCTTTAGGATACTTTTTTTTTTGCATAGTATAATTAAATATTATAAATTAGCGAGGGATTGTTGAATATATAGTTCATAATATTTGAGAGTTTCATTGGAAGATAATTATTCAAGATGTGACTGTTCAAATTAAAACATAACTCTTTGAATAAGTAGAACTGTTTTCAACAAACACAACTATTGAAATATAATAGACACATTTGTTGAAATATAACAAAAACATATGTTGAAACACAACAAATACTACTTTTCAATATCTATAAAAGAAATGTATTTCCAAGCCTTCAACCTTCAAAAGTTTTTTGCAATGGCTTGTTGTATTTCTTGTTTACAAATTGTCATAATAGGCAATAACTCTTTGAAGATAGTGTGTTACAACACACTTCAAGCCTTTCTCCTCCTTTCTTATATTATTTTTCTAGCAAGAAGTTGAGTCTTGGATGATTTAAAGAGAGCATAAAGTGAGATGAAGAGTCTCCTGAATCACATGATAAGGCAGAAAACAAAAATTAATCTTAATATGTTTGTTGCGTCTATGACACACATAATTTTAAATAATTTGAATAACATTATGATTATCACATTAAAAGAAGATAGAAAAATATTCTAAAAATTTATTAACATTAAAAAAATAAAAAATAAAAAAAAAAACTTAAATTACAAAAAAAAATGAGGCATGGATTATCACGTCTTGTGGTTGAGTCGGACTTGGGGATGAAGAAATAGAAGCGAAATTAAATGGGAAATGAAAAAGATAATTAAAAAGAAATCAAATGATTATTGCCAGCGTATACTTCAAGTCATGAACTTGGAAAATGTCATTTCCAACTATTGAGCCAAGTGCTAATGGCTTCTGTGACGCTTCAGACCAAATTCTTTGCGAGCACCTATCACAAAAAGATTCCACTCTTGCTTTCTGGAAAATGATTGTTGCCTCTTGTCAATTCCAAGTTGAAAAAGAGTCCACTTGCATCTATGCCTTCCACGTCAAGCGGGGCCTACGCAATTATGCATTCTAAAGCCCTGGTGCAACCGTCAAAACCATCCACCTTCTGCTTTCATGACTGGTTTGAAGCATCCAAGCAAATTCATTGCTAGCGCCTATCATTGCAGGCTTTATACAAAAACAAAAACATTATTTATTAATACAATAAATAAAGAAAATGGTAAGAGGAAATTCAAATAAAAATCCAAAACTTGCAACTATTTGCGATCCGAACCTTCAGTTACAGGGGAATCAAGAATCAATTAAAAAGGTGAAGAAAAAACCCTCATAAATTTATTTAATATTTTAAATTCATTGTTCTCATCAATAAAAATAATAAAATATTATAAATTTTAAATTCATTGATAAATGAGTATTGACCCACATGAAAGAAAAAGCAAAGTCTCCTTCCTTGGCGACGACCCCATGCGTTCTTGATCTATCTATGCTGTTCTTACCTTGTTGTCAAGCAAGAATAAAACGCTGCTTTCTCATATTGTTCTTTCTTCCTCTCTTTAAACACTCAATCTTCTTCTCTACTGATAGCACATTTTTTCTTGTTTTTCCTCTATGGTAACATATTCTCAATTCAATTGTCCTGTGATACCATATTCTCCCGCTGCTGGGATTGTGCTGCTGGACAAGCTATCTACACTTGCAAGCTGGAAGAAAACCTTGCTGACTTGAGCACAGCACTGAACAAATTAAAGGAGCTAAGGAATGATGTGATGAGAAAGGTCAACATCGCCGAAGAAGGAAATATGAAGCGATTAGACCAAGTTGAAGGATGGCTTTCAAGGACAGAGGCTATGATAAACGAAGTTGATCAACTGATTACAGATAGTCCTCAAGAAATCGAGAACTTATGTATGGGAGGCTGTTTTTCCAAGAATTACATGTCCAGCTTGAGATTTAGCAAAACAGTAGCCAAAAAACTCAATGATGTTAAGGATCTAAACTTGGAAGTAGCTTTTAAAGAGGTAGCTACGACGGTACCAGCAGCTTTAGTGGTTGAAAGACCGAGTGACTCTGCCATAGGCTTGGAATCCATCTTCAATACGTTGTGGAGTAGCTTTGAAGAAAAACATGCGGGAATTATTGGCATATATGGCATTGGGGGAGTTGGCAAGACCAGGCTCTTGACTGAAATCAACAACAAGATCGGTGTTTCGGCCGGTGGATTTGAAGTGGTTATTTGGGTAGTGGTGTCTAAAGGATTTTATGTTGAAAAGGTCCAAGATGACATTGCAAAAAGGATAGGCCTTTCTCGTGAAACGTGGAATGGTAAAACTCCCGAAGAGAAAGCTACAGAGATCTTCGGGGTTTTGAAAAAAAGGAAATTTGTATTGCTCTTAGATGATATATGGGAGCGAGTGGATCTATCTAAGGTAGGGATTCCTTGCCCGTCTCAAGAAAAAGGTTCCAAACTAATTTTTACAACTCGTTCTATCGAGGTGTGTGGCCAAATGAGAGCTGATAAAAAGATTGAAGTGACATGTTTGCCAGAAGAAAAGGCTTGGCAATTGTTTGAAGAACATGTTGGTAAAGATCTCTTTGATTGTCATCCAAATATTCGTGATTTAGCTCAGGAAGTGGCCAAAGAATGTGGAGGACTACCTCTGGCACTCATCACAATTGGTCGTGCCATGGCTTGCAAGACTACATATGAAGAATGGAAATACGCAATTGCAGTCTTGAGGAGATCATCAGCTACTTCAATTTGTAAAGGCATGGGTGAAGAGGTATATCCACTTCTAAAATATAGTTTTGATAGTTTGTCAAGTGACATGGTTCGATCTTGCCTCTTGTATTGTAGTTTGTTCTCAGAAGATTCTTTGATTGAAAGAAAAAGGCTTATAGATTGCTGGATAGGAGAAGGATTTTTGGATAACATGACAACATTAATGAAGCTCGAAATCAAGGCCAACACATCATTGGTTGTCTCATTCATGCATGTTTGTTGGAAGAAGTAGATCGTTGGATGTTGAAAAGTAATGAGATCGTTAAAATGCATGATGTGATTCGTGACATGTGTTTGTGGATAGCATGTACTTGTGAAGCACAGAAGTGGAAGTTTTTTGTGCAAGCAGGTTATGGATTGACTAAAGTGCCAGAGGTTGGAAAATGGAGAGGAATAAGAAGAATGTCATTGATGGGCAACAAGATTGAAAATCAAGGGAAGCACCTAACTGTCCTGATCTCCAAACTTTGTTTCTCTGTGGTAATGAACATTTGAAGGTGATCGCAATGACTTCTTCCAATTTATGTGTGTCCTTAAAGTTTGGACTTGTCAAAGAATCAAGGTATTACAGAATTTCCAATGGGAATTTCAAAATTGGTATCTCTAGAATATCTCGACCTATCACAAACAGGAATAAGAGAGCTACCAATTGAATTGAAGGCTTTAAAAAAGCTGAAATGTTTGAAATTGGAGGACACGGGCAATCGAATCAAAATCCCAAGAGGGTTGATGTCTGGCTTCTCAAAGCTGGAAATATTGAGAATGTTTGATTCTTATCCTTTCGATGAGGATGATAAGGAATGCTTGGCAGAGGAATTGCAGTGCTTAAACCACTTGAATGTGTTGACCTTGTCCGTAACAAGTGTTTTGCTCTGATAGTTTTTGAGTGCTGAAAAGTTACACAACTTCACTGAAGAGATTGACATTGCATTTTTCAAGGACTCAAAGCAATTGAACATTTTATCCTTAACGAATTTGAAAAGTTTAAATACTCTTGTCTTGGGAATGTGGAAGTTTGGAAGAAGTGAAGACATTGTGGGAAGGGAAGCAGAATATAAAAAGCAGCTATCGAAATTCAAACCTCTGTGATTGCAACTGTACCGTGCTTTCAAAGCCTTCTCCGTGTTCGCATAATAAGATGTTCAAGTTGAGAGACTAACATGGCTGATTTTGGCTCCAAATCTGAAGCATTTACTTGTAGGGGGATGCCATAAATGGAAGAAATAATCAATGAGATAAAATTGCGTCAGGTGGCAGAGCTCGTAAAAACTTTAAGTCCATTTTCAAATCTCCAAGATCTTCTTTTATTCAATGTACCAGAATTGAAGAGCATTTACTTGGATGCACTGCCCTTCTCATGTATGGAGGCAATTTGTGTTAGAGAATGCCCAAAGCTGAGGAGACTTCCACTCAACTCCGACAGTGCAAAAGGAAAAAAAATCAGCATTTACGGTGAAGAAAAGTGGTGGAAAGAGCTCCAATGGGAGGATGAATCTACTCAAAATGCTTTTCTTCCCAGTTTCATTCCATGGTGAAATTGGTAGGTAATTGGAGCTCTGATGGTTTCTAGTGTAGTGTGATTGCTTGCTGCTTTTTCCATATTGACTAACTGTTTGTTATGTTGTCTATTTAGAAGTTCAAGCCAAATTTCTGAGTTTGTTTTGTTCTTCCTATGTTTATGGAACATGCCTTACCAATTTTATCTGAGTAAACCTTGTCATAGTTAATGTGATAATATTTCCAAAAAAAAGAGTATGTTTTTCTGCACTTATTCTTGACTTTTGACTGAGCCATTTCTAATTTTTATTATAATAATTAATAAAAGTAATACAAATTGTTTTCATTGGGAATATTCCGTGGAACTGTTTTGGGGAATGTTATTGTCCCACGCTCCATTCGTTTCTGTGGAAATTTGGTAATCATGAAGCTTAATTGGTTAAATGCTTGCACAGAGTATATTTTTCATAAGATCTGGTTTTATTATCGAAATATATTGTAGATGTGAAGCAAGACAATTGTTAGGGTTGCTGTCCTCAATCAAGCTTGTTCTGGTTACTTTAAAGCTCGTTCGTGTGCACCATCGAATATAGATGCTACACCAGAAAATAAGTTTAGTTAGTATGGTCTAGATTGGAATATCTTGTTCCTGAATTGGATTGCTTGTAACAGTGTTGCTTTTCTGCACTATAGCCCTTGGGATGGTTTATTTGTAAAACAGATTTAACTTTGTTGTCCTATTTCTTCTCGGATGAATGAAATTTCAATTATCCATACAAAGTTACTTACTTACACATACACAATGTTTAAGTAATCATCGTATAGAAAATTTTAGTTGTGTATTGTGCTTCAATGTCTGCTAGTTATCCTTGTTTCAAATCTGCGCTCAATATTTTAGTTATACTTGAATTCAAATACATTAGTTCGTTTATTTAATTGCCAAGCTCAATAAGTATTTATTATCAAGTTGCAGATTTCCTTTAACCAACTTTCACGTCCGGGTTTGATAGAGCATACTGATTGGTTAAACGCATAAGCATTTGCTATAGGCAGTTATTCACTCCAAACACCTTTTTGTGATTAATATAAGCTCAGAACTTGCTGCTATAAATCAGAAGATGTTAAGGTGCGTCGAAGACAAACTTTGGGTGGCATGTTGTATAATAAACTGGTTATATGCAAATAATATCCTACATATTAATTTTATAACAATTGGCTAAGTAATCTGATATACAACAAGCTAAATACCCAAGGCTTCTCTTTCTTCTGATCTTACTAGACCAAAGAGGTACTTCTTCTCGTTAATAAATTTCTCCGTAGTTTCTCTTCTTATATCCTTTCTTAATTGACACAAGATATTATACAGAACAATATGGGGATCATTTCAGTACATATTCCCTACGAATGATAAGAAAGCATGATCTGTTTCAGAACAATGTTAGTGTCTTCAAAAGCATTCAAAGCACCAGAAGGTCGACCATGAAGGATACTCTTGCTCAACTAAAATGCCTTCTTTTGCTATATATTCAATTAACTTTCACAATTCGGACGACATTCTCAGATTTATATAGTCCCTTTTAAATTGAGAGGACAAAGCTATATATTCCTTAAAATTCATGTATCCCTGATTCTAATTTCTTTTTCTTTTTTATTTCCTTAACTTTTCTTAATAACACTTAGAATTAATAAACTTTAATTGGGTCATACAAACACTATTGATGCGTACTGAATGATTTTTTATTTGCTGTAAACCTAGGCTAAAAGTATTGATTTTTGATTTGTTGTAAACCTAGGCCAAAAGTAGTATTTTATCTGTTATTTTTTTATTATAATTTTATATTTATTCAATGATAACAAATAATTATGTAAGATTTTATTATTTAAGTATAAAATTTATCAAATATTTTAATAAATTATACATAATTCATAATTGTGTATCAAAGTAACGTGACTTTCTATGTCATTTTTTGGACTATTTGACTGCATCGAAATACAAGGGTTTGGGATCCTTGCCGTGTGTTTGAGTTGGCTAAGGTGAGGGTTTCTCAATGGGCCAAGGCTTAGAGCCCTGCTATGTGTACTTTTTTTTATAATGGAAAAAGGGGGATTCGAACCCTATTCTTTAAGTAAGGAGATAATGCATCAATCAATAACTCAAATGTTCGAGTGCTTTTCTTATTTATACTTATTTATGTTAAAATTATTTTTTAAAAAAACATTTATGTTAAAATTATTAACAATTTTATAGCTGGTTTTTGTTTCCTAGCTTCTGAAAGTAGAAATAACAGAGGTTAAAACTTATAGAAATAAGAAATTGGAATAATATTGCGAGTAGGAGACACCATAAAAGTTATTATTTCTAAAACAATATTAATCTTCTTTGTGAACTTTTTGCAGCTCACGTTTGCATTATTACAACTCAAGTTTTTTTTTTCAACCTATTTTTATTTTTGCATTATTACGATATTATTCTTCCTTTTTTCTCATTTTTAATTTGTTATGGTTAGGTTAAATGCATGACATTTTCTCACATTGAACTCTGAGGTTTTTTTTCATAAACTAATTATCTAAATAAGCCTTGAATTATGTCAAAAAATCAATTAAGTCCTTATCATTTTACGGCATTCAAATAAGCCTCATAACTTTTATTTTAGGTCAAATAGGCCTCTCTTATTAATTGTTAGCTCTTTCACTAACTATTGATTAACTTTTGTTAGTCAACTATATAATTGAAAATTTTCTACCATGTGGCAGGTGACGTGTATTAAACCTTGCTGACTAGGAATTAGGTTTTTCCTTTTTTACCCATCGACATGTCAAAAAGTAATTGGATTAGGTATATGGAACAAAATTAAAATAAACTAATTGCTTTAAACTAAGTCCTGATTACCATCGTTTTTAACATGCAATAGGCTTTTAATAGAAAAAGCAATTGAGTATAAGAAAAAAACCCAAACATCATGGGTTAGGGATTATCAAAGTGAGAATATGTTTGAGAAGACCTTTTGTCACAAATATTTTTCATGATCATAACACCTTCATGATGAATATCTGCTTCAAGCTTAAGAGACTTATCTTCAATTTGTATCTATTTCTCAACATAAACGAATTTTAGAATGAGGGTTAAATTTTAACCTTGTAACCTTGTGT